TTGTTGGGGGCGCTGTTGCCGGTGTTGGCGCCGCTGCCGCGCCCGCGCCCGCGGCGGCGGTTGCGGTTACCGCCCTGGTGCTGCCCGCCGGATGGAGGAGTCGGTGAAGGTGCAGCACCGGTCGAGGAGGAGCCACCAGCGGGAGGGTGCACGCGGCCACCCTGGGCGACCAAAGCCTGCTGCGCCGCCATCTTGCCGTGCTGGGTGGCATAGAGCTCCTCCAGCAGGAGGAAGGAGCGAGCGGAGAGGAAGTCGTGGGGTGGCTGCTTGGAGGTGATGGTGGCGATGCAGTGGCGGTATTTGTCGTTGAGACCACGCAGCATGTTGAGGACCTGGGACCGAGCATCGACCGGTTGGCCGAGATCGCCGAGCGCATCGGTGAGCTCCTTCAGCTTGGCGGTGTAGTCGGTGATGCTGAGGTCGCCCTGGAGCAGACTCCGGTACTCGGCCTCCAGGTACACGGCGCGGTGAAGCTGATGATCACGGAACTGGTTGACGATGGCAGTCCAGATCTCGAAGGCGGAAGCGCCGGGAACGCGGACGATGCGCATGATGTCGCGGGTCATGGTGTTGAAGAGCCAGTTCACGAGGCACTGGTCCTTCATCATCCACTCCGGATCAGCACGCTGAGCAGCAGTGGGAGGGGCTTGAATGTGGGGAAGAAGGCCGAATTTGCCGATGACGGAGTCGAGGAAGCAACGCCACTCCTGGTAGTTGGGCTGGACGATGTCCAGGACCACCGGGACATGGGACTTGATGTTCACCATCATGAGGGCGGTGGCGGACGGGGGCTGAGGATGTGGCGGTGGGGGATTGTGTATCGACGCAGTGAAGGATGCGGAGGAGTCAGTGGGAGAGCCATGGACAGACTGCTCGAAATCGAACAAAGGATTGACGTCCATGGCGAGCAGCGGAAGAGGAAGATGAGCACTGGATGAACAGGGGATCAGACCGTGCTAATAGATACCATAAAGAAGAATAGACTCAAGCCACACGCTCTGTATTAATTCACTGGCATGTACATTTATACAACAGGCGAGGCTCAGCTCGTGATCTCCCTGATCCTACATACAAGGAGCGGATCCTACATACAAGGGAGACTAGGCCGGCTTCTGCCGTTACTCGAGCACATGCTCGTCGTGGGCTCGTCGTGAGCGCGCTCTGCGCGCATGCAGCGGCGACTTCGTCCTGCTGTGCGCGCTCCGCGCGAGGCCGTTGGCGATCAGTTCCTCAGCGACGCAGTCTCCGTTATCATTAACCCAATTACCCACTACCAAATTTAAGCAAAATGGTGTAGGGCCAACCCACTAGTTCTCTGGTGTATTTTGGTTTAATCGCAGTGGGCCACTGGTTGACCAAATTTTCCGTTAGCCATGGCTTGGTGCTGCATGCGCCTAGCCCCGCGTGCCATTGCAGCCAGGCGAGTTCATCACCAATTCAACCAGGAGATTAGGCCGCAGCTGGAGAAGAGCAAGCAGCCGCCACGCCATGCATGCAAAATCAAGACTCGCTGAACTCCATCCTGTCGACGGGTTTCCCGGCGGCCTCCTGAGGCCGTGCGTCGTCGTCGTGCTCAAGGAGACGCTCCGCGCGATGTGCTACCTCCATGCCAGGGCCGCATCCACCGCGAGTCCGCGACATCAAGGCGGGCAAGATCCTCGTCCTCGTGGACTCCTACCGCTCCGTCAAGCTGGCTGCCTTCGGCATCTCGGCATCCGTCTACGAGACCAGGGGATCCCATCCGGCCCCGGTGTCAACACCACTACACCAGCGGTGCAGCGGGTCTGCTTCACGTCAGGGGCAGGCTCTCTGATGACTGGTTCGTGTTATTCGGTGGAACCATAACCCAACGAGGAGTGGGTTGGGTTGACGAAGGGTACTAAAATAACTGATTTACCCTTATTCGAATATAAAATATAAAATATATATTGTCCCTTATATTTTAGTACCGGTCCCATCTAATCTGGTTCTATCTCCACCTATTTGGTATCTGCGGGTACTTTCAGTTAAGTACCTCCTATTTTTCCACCGTCCAATCTCGTCCAATGAATGGTCTATGTTTTTTCCGACCATTGTAAAATTTCTCTTTTTCATAAGTTAAACCTTTTTTTTATTTTGACTAAGTTCTTAGAAAAATATAACATCTACAAGTTCAATAAATGTGCTGTCAAGATATATTTCAAAGAGAATTTTATGAAACTGATTTGATATTGTAGATACTGATAAATATTTCAATAGTTTCAGTCAAAGTTGGAGAAGTTTGAGCCAAAATGGATTATAATTTAAAAAGGACGAATGCATCCCACGACAAGCCAACTGCTTCAATGCATCGTAAGTTAGATATTCTTTTTAACTTTGAAATCAATATCAGATAGTAGTAGCAGTTTTGCATAATGCAACTTTGATCCTTCATTTCTTCTTATTTCTATTGTAGTTTTTTTAAACGAACTGGCATGAGAGCTGCTTGTTATATTAAAAAGGTGAAAGCCAAAGATAGCTGCAATAGCACTGTACAAGGCGCTTTAGCACGCCACGCCCCCATTGTAAAGTATACCCACAAAAGGATCAAGTAAAAAGTAGAAGAGTTGATAGATGTTTTGCTCCGCCGCTTTCCAAGGCCTCGCTATATCTCTAATCTTGTTTAGTACTTGTTGATTTGTTGTGCCATTACGCTAAAAAATTTGTGCCTTTCTTTCCTTCCACACTTCCCAACATACTAATTAAGAGGATCAAAGAGCGCAAACCTTTTCTATTCGCATGGTGAACACGGACCATGTTACTCCACCACTCGAGGACACTTTCCCCATGGACCCAGTTAACAGGCAGTAGACTAGATACATCAATCCACATTGCAATGCCTTCCCACAACTGCCTAGTGAAATGACAATCTTGGAAAAGATGCAAGACGGACTCTGGCAATGGACAACACAAGGGGCAATTTCCAGAGTTTGGCCAACCATGGGCCGCCAAACGATTCGACGTCCAAAAATTCTGTTTTGTAAAACTAACCAACTGAAGAATTTGCACATTGGTGGTGCCCAAGTCTTCCAATTAAGGGAGCAAAAAAAAATTGTCATGCGGCGGATTGGGGACTACCGGTTTCTGGATCTGAACGAAGAAGAGAGAGGTAGCAGCGGTGGCGGAGATCAGCCCAGCCGGCCGAGTTGCAAGTCATGCAGCAGCGGTGGCAGAGTCATTGCTTTTGGGACTTGGGAATGTCTTTTCGGCTCGGCATGTATCGTTGTGAGGCGGAGTGGAGATTTTTTTGGAGAGATGGAGGCCGGCCCACTGTGCAGGTCTGAGAGCTGCGTCCGGACGGACTCACGCCCGTGGCCGAGCATTACTATTTTTTCTACTTTCGCTCCTTCTAAGGTGCAATGATTATATTTTTATAGGAGTATAAATGTAATTTCTCACTAACATTGTTCTCTTCACCAAAACGCTAGAAAGTGCACTTATTTTGTGACAGAGGCCGTACCTATTGTTTTTGCATGACACTTTGTCTCACTGATTTGACTTGATCTTTCAAGCACCATCACGTCGTTTTTGTCCAATCACTAGCTGTTGGCGTTGAACTCTGGTGGCTTGTTTCAGCGTTGCATTGTGTTAGTTGTACACTGAACAAACAGTTTGTTATCTTGTGTTTTGACAGGAGCATTAATTGAGAAATAATCTTAGTCTTTTCGGTTCAGTTCACCAGCAACTTATGTTGTTCTTCCCAATTACTCCTCCCAAAATAGATGACTTTTATTTAAATTTTGTCCCCAAATGCTTGACATTTTCACTTCTCAATGTATTTATCTCTTTTACCAATACATTTTTTCTCTTTTCCTAACGCATCTACTCCCTCCATCCTGAAAAAGAATTCTAGCAGAGTAACAAGTTAAAATATCTTAAGTTTAACTAATAATATATACAATTATAAATAGTTATGATATCAAATAAGTATTATTAGATTTGTCAAGAGATATATTTTCATAATATATTTATTTGGCATCGTAAGCATTGATTTTTTTAACTATATATATATTTGGTCAAACTTTGGGAAGAATGCACTTAGAATTGCATTCTTTTTTGGACAAAGGTATATTTCTATTCCTTGAGGAGCATTTTGGTCTTTTGGTTTCAGCATTGATTTCTTTGAGAGATTATAAAGGCCCCATTTTGGCTGAAAAACACTGTTCTGGCTGAATTGTTGTGAGAGAAAAATACTGTTCTGGCTAAAAAAACAAGCTGAATAGTGCAGATTATAAGGTAAGCCGAACGGGACCAAAATGTCATCTAATATGGGACAGATGGATTAGCTCTTAGTTTAATATTCTGCTTGCTTATTAGAGCTTTTGTTAGCCAGCTTTTTAGCGATTAATTTAATACATGCTTTGTTGTTTTGCTTCCGCACAACTTTAAGATATTTCTAATTGTTTCTAAGATCGACATATCACTAGCTGACACGTGTGACCTTTAGAAGAAAGGCGTGTTGGGTTAACCCAAGATATTGACCAAGTTCTTATGCGAAGACTTTTAATCGGCTCCCATTGATCCTACTCTTATCGCCATTTCGGTCCTTGAAAAATTAATTCTATTCTACCAACAACAGACAAGGACTCCAAACTATGGTTGTGTTTGGTTGAGCATCTGAAAAGATATTCTGTTGCAAAAAAAAAAAAGAGGAGAAATCCACCCAAAATAGGTGAGTTTTAAATTTAAGCTGTTCTTTCTGAAGCAACTGCTTTAATTTCGTGTAGTACAATTTTAGAAGCAACTCGAACCCTGGTTTTGACTCTTGACTTCCGGCTTTTCGAAATGGATGCAAATAGAGAGATGTTTCATAGCTGTTTGAAGGAAGATAGAGGGAGGCGATAGCTTTTATACTGGTTTCAACCAAACAACTTACAACTTTTCTACGTTACATAGCTCACGATAGTTTTTTTCACAGTGCATAGCAAAACCAAACAAACCCTCTATTAGCAGATAAAGCAGCTTGCCATGTTTGATCCTAGCTAATTGCTAGGATGAGAGAAGAAGTGCAGCAGGTTAGCCATCTCCGGGAACATGCGAGTTGGACGGTAGTCTTCGTTGAGGCAGACGACAGTAGCCATCGCTTCTAGCACGAGCTGCCATATGGATATAATCATGGTCATCAGCTCACATGAGAGTAGGAGAGACGTGTACATGTGTGGCTACAGGCCACAAGGGTGGAGTCAGAGCAAATTCGAGGGAGTAAGTCTTGATCAAAGCAAGACTTACTGCTGGCCAATATAGATCCGCCCCCGTTGGCCTGTGGTCACTGGTCACCAAAGTATAGCAGCCTGTTTATTTCATCGTAAACGATCGTGGATTATTTACTGCTGGCTGGTTTGGCTGATTTGGTGTACGAGAGAAAAATACTATCTCACCAACTTATAATCCACGATCGTATACGATCGTATATGCCCAGCCGAAAAGGCTCTAGATGCGGAGACGAGCGACGTACCTTGCGGTCCGGCAGCGTCGCGATCAAGTGCTCCACGAGCATCCGCACACCCTTGATTTGGACAACCCTCACCATGACGACGAACATGGCACCGCGCTGAAGAATATATAAGCATTCATGCAAGTATGCAACGCAAAGCGTGTAAAAAAAATTGACCGCAAAAAAACGTGTAAAATTCTTCGATAAAAAATGATCTGATATTCACATGCATGCAGGCGTGGACCTTTAGTGGCGCGAAGTACTTGACGTTCAACTCGGAGAGCGCCATGGCACGGCCTGTGCGCACGATCGAGCTCGTGCAGACGCCCAGGCTTGCAGCCATCTCTTGACGAGCTGAGTATTGCATATGTACATGGTTACCGTACCCGTACGGACCAGAGGTTTGGAAATGAATAACGAGAGACAGTACGTGCTTAATTCTGGGGTTGGTTGGATGGTGTAGCAGACCTGTTTCGATGTAGCTAGCATATACGGCATTGTTCACGACCCCGTACATGTCGAGGTCGCAGTCACGGACCGTCATCTCCAGCTCGAAAAACTTGCCCGCCCTACATTTCGCACCGTACCATGCAAAGATCGATCATCGAAGAAATAGGATCAGACAGGATCCAAAAAGAAGTGAAAACCCTGCCTGCACTCTGCAGACTGTACCCGGCCGGAGCGCGATAAGGTACGATACCCGCACCTTGGCAATTTCGTGTCCCGGACGATGTTCTTGAAGCAGATGACCTCAGAGGAACGAGCGGCGTTCGTGGTCGTGGAGGCGGTGACCTGTAGTGCCGCCGCCAGGCTAGGACGACGTGACGACCAGCGAAGGAGACCAACAGCGGGGTGTCGGGAGCGCGGCCAAGCTGCTCTCGCCGTCGACTGTGCCGCCGGCCGTGGGCATCGTTTGGTGGTCGGAGGCGGCGGCAGATTGAAGAGCTGCTGCTGCCGCGCGCAGAATTCCATCTCCTCGCGCGCGGACGCTGCCTCTCCTATGTATCCTGGGGCTTGAGCTTGTGGACTCGTTATCGTCTCTGACTAGTTTATAGTAGAATCGTCTCGCTCGCCGCACATGAAAGCTGCCGCTACAACGCCAAGTACGTTCAATTCGGCGCCACTGTGGCGCACGAAAATGTCGTGTAGGAGTACTTCCACAGCTGTACCTAGTAGGAGCAGGAACTGCATAGATTCTGCACAAGGTCGAGGCGTGTCGACAGTGTTATTAATTTTCTTGTTCTTCTTCCTTTTTTTTATAGAGGACAGGCCGCCGTACGTGCCCTTTGCATCCATGGCACGCACTAAATCTATATATCCAAGGCAGCTGGTAGCAAGAGCACAGTCTAACATGCATACATGCATGCGCACTCTCTTTCAGCTGCGAACCTGCGATAGCCAATCGTCAGTTACAAGACTTGGATACACATTATGCAAAAGGAATAGTAGCAGTGGATGCAGCAACGTTGACACTCCCCTGCTATTCAGAGTCAGCATGCCCCAGGCCGACGCATGAGTGAATTGTTGGCGTAGCTGAGCGAGTGGCTCTAATGTAGAGAGGGAAGAAGTAAGCAAATGCGACCACTGAACCAGCCCTTAGCTCCAGAGAACGGTCGTCAGAAGTCCATCGGCATTGAAGAATCAAGAATATGAACCGGGACATGAAACGGAGTTAAGTCAGAGGGAAGGGTCGCGGATACCTGTTGGCTGCCCTGCGAGCACTTCAGCTGGGACATATGAAACGCCGGATGCACCGAAGCAGATGATGGCAAGTCGAGCTTCTAAGCGGCGGCATCCAGCTTCTAGAGAATCTTGTAAAGACCAAAGAATTTGAAAGAGAGCTTGTTGTTAGAGTCACGAACCACTGAGGATTGCACATATGGTTGAAGCTTCAAGAAGAACATGTCACCTACAGTGAAGGAGCGATCGATCTGGTCCTTATCGCGTATCGGCATGACGCTTCATGAGCTGCTGAGCACGACGCAAGTGTTGTTGGACAAGGCCACAAGGGCGTGCCTCAAGGCGCGTTCTCCACCCATTCCTGTAGCTCAGGCACAAGTGTTGTTGGACACTGAAGTAGGGACGATGACGAGGAGGGAATCCATAAAGCACCTCGAACGAGGAATGGCCCAAAGTTGAATGAGTGCTTGAATTGTACCAGAATTTCGCCAACGAGGGCCAACGAGACCATTGAGAACGGCATGCGCTCCCGAAGCAACCAAGCAACGCACTGGTTGAAAATTTTAGCTAAGTTAACTAAATTTTAGCTAAATTTTAGCCCCACATCAAAGTCAGAGCCTAAAATAAAAAACCTCGTGTCCGCGCCTTAAAATTTTAGCTAAACTAACTGAAATTTATTGTAGATGACTTAGTTCATTCCAATTCATTTCACATTTCATTCCCTAGAACCTGAGAGAGGTCACTACTAAGAGGTTATTAACAATTGCTCGTTGTGCAGATTGGTGTGACTAGATACATACATGGGTCCCACACCATAAACTTAAAACTAAAAATTAAGGATTGGCTTACCTGTTAAGTAGTCAAGTCCATATAAAACACTGGACTTTTGGAGTTAATGTCCAATGAATTGTGTATTTTTTTGGATCAAATAATTATGGACATCCAAATCCAAATATATCCCATCCAAATGCATTCAAAGCAACTAGAGTCCAATTAGATTTTGGATTATTCAAATCCAATACCACCTCTAGTTATACTAGGAGGAGCAGAGAGTGACATTTGAAGTTACTCTGATAAGCCAGACCCCTTCGTCGTTCCCAGTTCTGAAGCGGAGGAAGAGACTGTCGGCGGAGGAGAAAACCTAGAAGCGGGTCACAGTGCTGATGCCCTCACCTCTAAACTGATTAACTGAAGGCACCCAATGCATGAAAGTGCATCCCGATGACAACATTCTTCTTACCAAGGGTAAAATGGCTCTAGAGTTCGACATTCACCTTGTGCCATATGGTTTTTTTTCTGATCCTATGGAGGCTGATTTTCTTTTCATCTCTTACAGTGGCTCAGAACTTGTAAGGTTCTTTCGTGGTGGAGGGAGCTCATGCCCAGATTGAGACTGAGAAGAAGCAGACTTTTGAAGAGGGGCACCTCACTGTGAGCGGCATGCATACTCAGGTACTTGCTCATACATCTACCATCCATCTTGTGCTGATACCGCGACACCTTTTTCTACCGGTGAAGTCGAAATCACAGCATTAGTGCTTACTGATAACACTCCCCCGTTCCATCCGGCCATCTAAATTTAGCTGGTATTTAAAACGGCTTTAAACTCGAGTCCCTCACATGAGAACCTAAACAAGAGTACTGCTAGTACTAACAGAAATACAATACTACACAAATAATTTTGCGACGCACTGCCAAACATTAACTGAGGTGTTTACAAAATCCAACCGCCTCGGTTAATGCATGGCGATTAACGGAGGCGGTCGTATTTTATTTATCGAGGCACAAAAAATGACCGCCCCGCAAAATCGATTTACGGAGGTGGTCATTTTATTTACTGAGGCGGTCAGGAAACAACCGCCTCGGTTATCGATTTATCAAGGCGGTCAAGAACAACCGCCTTGGTTAATCAATTTACTAAGGCGGTTAGGATACAACCGCCTCTTAATTGTGGCCGAGCCCACTAGCAATGAGGAAAGCCCAAACCAGCCCGATATCATGCTCTAAGTATATATACGGTGACTTAGGGTTTCACTCATTCTCACCCCTCTCTCTCGGCCGCGCAGCGCAGCGCGCTCTCTCTCTCGACGTAGAACAGTGGGTGCTCTCTCTCTCTCCCTTTGCTCACTCTCTCTCCCCCTCTTCTCTCTCTCGGCAGCGCAGCGGGCACTCTCTCTCTCTCTCTCTCTCCCGGCGGCAGCAGCGGCGCTGCGCGCCCGGCGTCGGCGGCTAGCTCCTCCTCTCGGCGCTACTTGGCGGCGGTGGCTCGAGCTCCTCCCTCTCGGCGCCACCCGGCGGCAGCGGATAGAGCTCCGAAGCTATCCAGTGGCGGCGGGTCTAGCTCTCCTAGCACAGATCGACCTCCCCCAGGCGCGGATTGGCCTCCCCCGTGCGGATCGGCCTCCCTCCACGCGGATCGACCTCCCCGGCTACGGATCGAGCTCCACCAGCGCGGATCTAGCTCCCCCGCGCGGATCGAGCTCCCTGGTGGTGGATCGAGCTTCCCCTGCGGCATCGGCGACGCGCGGCCCAGGTCCAGGCCTAGGCCCGATTCGGGCTGCGGGCTTTTTTTCTTTTTTTATTTGATTTACCGAGGCGGACATTTGAACTGCCTCGGAAAAGATCGATTTACCATGACCTTTGGACCAAGGTGGTAGTGATGCCCGCCTCGGTTAATCCAAAACGACCGCTGCGGTTAAAGTTTGTGTAGCAGTGATATTAGAGGGGAGCCTTTTCTGTGAATTTCAACCTATGATGCAGCAGGCACTTGTAAATCCAGCACCTAAACCTCCTGAACACCTGTTACAACCCCGCCAAACAGAAACATGGTAACTTAAAACAAAGTACAAACATTACTGATGACTCTTTGGTGCTAACTTCCACACCCAACCAGCACAAGAGCACCCACCTGGTTGAAAAAACTGGCTCTAATCCTGAAAGAACCCCGTTAAGGCTTTATTTGGTTGCACACAAAGTCACCCCAATCCACATGCTTTGGAAGGGATTGAGGTGTAATTTAGTTTAAATTCCACCTCAATCCCTCCCAAACCACGTGGATTGGGGTGTATTTGTGTGCAGCCAAACAAGCCCCAAATTGGCTCAAGAATTCTTAGTGAAGAAACTTGGTGATCTAACTCCAACCAAAAAGTTTCCTTCGAAGAGTTTTATCAACTCAGTTTTAAGATCTTTTCTAAAGTGATCACTCTAAGATTAGGTAAAATAGCAAGTAGACTTATTTCTAGGGATGCCAATTGTATGGAAAATGGACCCTATGGATGCTTCTACTTCTTGCCTAAAAACAACCAGCTCGTCTATATGACCGGAATCAACTCCACAATGTTGTGCTAGCTTGCATCGTACTTCACAATATGATAGTTGAAGATGAAAAGAAAGATGATCGTTCTTGATTTGAATAAGGCTCCAGGTACATCGATTATTGAAGAACCAGAATTCTCACCCGACCAATATGTTACGTTTGAAAGAGTTTTAGAAAAAGACAGTGACATTCAAGATCGTCCGGCGCATTATCGGCTAAAGAAAGATTTGGTGGAGCATATTTGGAACAAGTTCAGACGCCCTTGAAGTATAGCTTGAGTTTGTGATATACAAATGTAATCCCTTTAAGTTATATGTAATCATTTTAATATATGTGTGCGCATTCATGAATATTGGACTAATTAATATATTTTATTTTACATGATTATTTTTGGCATAAGATATATTGTAGTTACCAAAGTGACTATATTTAGTTTCGATATATTTTCAAATGGCTACATAGTTTACATGGCATATAGGACCACAATATCATGCATACATTAACAGCTGCAGCTTGCCTTGGAAATAGTGAAATAAAATGAAACATGGATGAAACACCAACTAACAATGAAAAGTTTGATTCTATGGTTTGAGAGATATTTAATTTCATGACTCATATACACTAGTAATCATGTCAAGAGAGTTTCAGCCCATAAAACTCACTTCTCTCTTCTTAAAAATATTGTCACATCATAAAAAAAATATTTATATGGTAATTTATTAAATACAAATGAAGCTCTGATAAACTTTCACGAGACTGACGTTAGGGGAAGGACCGGTGGAGATTATCGAGCAGGCCATTCTGAGCTCCAAGAGCCAGAGAAAATGGGACTTGACCTTGACCATCATGCCTCGATCGAGCCCCAATAGTGAGTCTGTCCGGACCGATGGAACGCGGCCGCCTGCCGCTATAAACCAGGCAGTACAAAGCACGGAGCATTCCTGTCCTGAAAAAAGGAAAAAGAAAACTATGCATT